AAAACCTGGAAGTACTAAACGGCTGTTTCGTCCTATTATGGGACTCCTCAGGAGTGCGCATCCACGACCTACTGGTTTCGCGCGCGATCACTTAACCACTAGACCACTGAGCCGTACCTAAATTATATATCATGTTCTAATTTAAATAATATAAATATTTGAATCAAAATAAGATATGAAATCATAAGTAGTAAAGAAATGGGTTATTTCATTGTTATCAGAAGAGGTTTTGTCGATATTATAGTAAATTTTTATTGGTTGAGATCATAAGTCAATTGAAGCTAGATTATCATAGAAAGCCTGGAAGTACTAAACGGCTGTTTCGTCCTAGTATGTGATTCCTCGTAAAAATGAGGATTTATCTTAGACAATATTCTAAAAAAAACCTGGAAAAAACGAATAATCTGATTCTCAATAAAACAGTTATGATGTAATTCATCTCTTATAAGTAGTACATTAATCAAGCATTTCAATGATATAATCAGTTGATTATTGTTTGTTTTTTTTGTTTTTTTGGTTTTGTTTAAAACAATCTTGTTTTATCAAATGTAAAAAAGAGATGGATAAAGGAGAATTATACTTTAGTTTATTGTAGTTAGTTTGTTTCTAAGGCAAACAAGAGATAATGTCTAAGTGAGATCAAATTTTAAACAACGTATAATTGAGAAGAGAAAAGATTTTCACTGGTTCTTTATTAATATTTTTTAACTAAGATTTGTTACAAGTAATATTATGTTGAAATTTATTTTTGTAATAGTTGTTTAAATCTTTCCATTGATGTTTAGAACGGAAGTTGATCAGTCTCTCGTAGACATATGTGTATCCTGTGCGGATTGCCTCGATATTGCCATAATTCATAAGGATTATATGCAAAGATTGATGATGGCTGACAGTAGAATCCAAGATGCATGTTTGGTTTTATTTAAGACTTATCAGTTGGATGTACGGGCATACCACATTTGATGTTCACTGCGAGACTCGAACGCAGTACCTTTCGCTTGAAAAAAAGTGTTTATACGTAAATCAATCAGTCAGCTGAAACATAAGACCAGTTATATATATGCATCGGTCCAAGTTGCCTCATTTCATTAGCACAAGATAAACACGAAATTCATAGAAGTAGTCACTTCAATGATAGCAGTGTATAAAAGAAAGATTGGGTATAAGAATATGGTACAGGAAGACAGAATTACTTCATAGAAATAAAGATATGAAGCAATTTTGATATTACGGTATATAAAGATTCTATTATATATTTAAAGTAATATTCCATTGTAATGTATAGATATGAGTGTTTCATGAACTCCTTATACTGGAATAAAATAGTAAGAACTAATAAATAATACAGTTCTAGGTCGATGTTTTGTGATTTTCTATATTTCCAAATAGTTTAATATGTAGATTATAGACTCCAATATAACTGAATGATTATGATAATAAAACAATCGTAGTTAATTTGATGTATCTTTTGCTAACCATTCACGTTAATAAAACATAGAAATAAAAGGTTAAATAACAGTTGTTGTCTTAGTTCTGTGAGCTCTGTTTTGTCATTTTTTTCCTGTTGTTGAGGACAACAGTAGCTCTGGGACTGCTCCTCCATACAGTATTCCTAGTCATCCTGTAAGGAATAATTAATTCTGAACTTATGTTTCATATGATAAGTATACTCTCCTAATAACTGACGAATAACATCATTTCAAACAATTCAACCTTGTGTTTCTATGCTTTACATGTAACATTGCTTTCTCGATCAACTTTGGGTTGTGTAACTATTTTCAGAATACGGATTTATTTTCTTATACATAGATATTCTACAGAAAAGGAAGACTGAAGTGGTAAATTTGAAAAATTGCATAGATTCAAATAGGAGTAGTTGTAAAAAGCTACTCATTAAATAATGTAAGGTTTAGTCGTTATAAATTATGAATAACCAATTAAAATATAGATCACAGACATCCATAAGGCAAACGCAAATATAAATTATCCATAGTTAATAGTGAATAATCACACGAGTACACTTACTAAAGTAGGCAAACGGAGTTAGATATGCATTCGCACAAACTAATCAGTGATGTTACAATTAAACATCCCAACATCAGAAAAATGTTACATAACAGCTTGTGTCAGCCTGTTGTACCACCATAAATTTATTATTATGATTATGATTAGTGATGCCTGTTCACTACAATTTCCAAATACTGCAAAGTTTTCTTATCCTTTTGGTACTGACAGTGAAAGATGAATAACTTTTTCAGATCTGACATCATTATCACACTTATGTCAAGGAGTGTAATGTGAATCAAATTTTAACCGGAAACGACATTGTTTAATTAGAACACAATGGTAACCATATGTTTATGGCTTATTAACTAGGAGATAAATCGATCAAATTCATTTAAACGCTGTTCAAAGTTATTATACAATCTTAAGAAGTGATTTATGGTATGATTTTGTACACTGTTTAACAAAAGAATAAACTTATTCTAATAAACTTATTCATATGACAAGTCTAGAAACTCAATTGTCTTTACGTCTGTATTCAGATCAAATAATCTGATGAAAAGACGTTCTATTAAATATGGATGACAAAAATGTAGTGAGTAGTTTATTACGAACAAGTAAAATTAAAAAGATAAAGTGGACATATAAATAGTAAATTCAATAAAACTGGATCGTAGATTAAAGTCTGTCCTAACATATAATCTTTTGCTGGATGGACTAACATCCAACAGTTGACATTTACAGTGAAACTCTTGGGAACTACTACGAGCCATTAGGTGTTTAAAAATTTGAGAAATAATGACTATCGAAGCAATTCATTCAGAATGCACAAATGTTAAACGAGATTTGACTATTCCAGTCCTAAATATCAATAACAGTACAACACAACTCTTTTGTTGCTGAGAATTTCTTTATCCATTCGTCCCAGCATTATTCTAAGTTTCCAACTATTAGATGCTATCGACTATTAGTTGCTTCCTTAAGAGTGACGATATCACTTCATTACCTATATTTCTTTAATAAGTTTAAAACTATCATTCAAACTTTAAAAATTCTACAATCTCTACAAATCCTCATACTGATAACAATCATTTTCTCACTAGCTTCAAAATGTAACTCCTGGTGTAGTGAACAAGAACACAAGTGGTGACAATTGAATGCATTTTAACACAAAATTACAGAACATTTAAGTGAAATCTGTGATTCATACATAAATACTTCATTTGCAAAATATCAATCAATCGCTTCAGACTACACTGTCCCTTCATTTCCACAGCAGTCATTTTCTGTTCTTCTTCTTCTTTCTTTGATCTTCTTAACGTTCACTTTTGATTAAAGATACATACTACTTATATTTGTCGACATCAGTAGCACACACCACTCTTGAGTATGGTAAGAAGCTGTGACCAAATGAGCTAAACTGTGTCAGGTGAAAAGAATGTATTCATCTTAGGCGATAGATCAGATTTGCATAACACGGGGGGGGGGTGAGTTGATCGAAGCTAGACATTCATACCATCGGATACCAGCTAGGTGGTCTAGGTGTTAAGTATTCTCGCTGGAGTCTGAAGACCGTGTATTCCTACTGATGAATAGCATTATAATGAAGCGAAATAGCCTTTCAATGTTTCCAGACCTCAAGTAGTGTTCATACCATAATATAGGCTCACGATCCTACTGTCTATACTGATTCTCCATGATATATATATATATATATATATATATAATAGAATAATATTTTTAGCTGTAAACTGATTTTCATAATGTTAATTTGATCGACGTATTCCAACCACCATCCAGTTTAATCAAAGTCAACTCCTTACATCAGTAATGTTTATGCTTCATTGATTTTTTTTCATTATGATACTTATTACTTCATATCACAGTTAAACAAATAAGTTTGACATGTTAATCATATTAACCATTTGTGAATAAAAACTAATTGGGATATCATAAAATTAACTGACCTGTGAATTGTATCATACATTAATTACTGTTAAATCATTTATGATCTGTGAAATTACGAAAGAATTACTTCGATTATTACGGTCTTTTGGTTATTTGAAATTCATTTAAAACCATAATTTTTTAAATGTTATACTTAAATGAATACAATTATTGAACCAGATTATCAACGATTGAACTGACTGTGACTAAAATGATAATCAAAATATCCTTCTTAAAATGACCGACTAAACTTATAGAATTATGAAAGTTGTCTATTATTACTATTATCAATAAATATTAGAATGATAAACAGTGTTTCTATCGATGAAACGTTTCTTCAAAACTAAAAATGTGATATCTAGTAATATCTAATGCTTATAGATTTTCAATGGTGACTCCTGAATTTAATTGTTAAAATACTAAAATATCCACAAATCTTTACACTGTCATCTAATAATCATGTACTCACTATTGATTAACAGTGAGATGTAACTCCTGATGTTCTAATGAGAAGCACATGGACCAGAGGAGTCCGATTCCGTTTCGATTGGAGACAGTTATCAACGTCAGATACTAAAGGTTGGGTAAGATCATAAATTGTTTGAAGTAAGACATTAACACCGTTGAATGTTGATTCAATAGTTAACAAGTTAAACATTCGCACAAAACCGACAGTCTTGGTTTTCAATTACTTTTGAGACATCTTAGATGTGAACTTTTAATGAGTTTCATCCTAGAATCGGTATTTTCAAATTTTCAATCATAATCTACTTTAGATTTACTTTTAAATCTAACGGTTAAACTACTAAAATCTTCATAAATCCCCATGATGACAATTTTTTTCTTCTTCTTCTATCAGTAAATATATTTGAAACTATTTTCAAAAATAATAATAATCAACATTTCTAATTAGTTTATAAAATAAAAGAATAATAATAATAATAATTTTTTTTTGTATATCACAGCTTAATTCTGATTGGTTGATTTTTTTAAATTTTATATTATTTTAATATATACTACTTGTGGGCGTTATGTTATTAATGATAAATTTTATTTAAGAACTCAAATATAATTTATATTTGATTAATATTAAAAACTATTTTATTAACTATATATATATATATACATACAATATACAATATACACAATATACAGTGTATTCGATCTTAGTACTAAGTGATTCGAACACTAGAAGTGATGTTTTAAAAAAGTTTCTCATATTAACTATTTAATTTTCTTCTCGAATAAGTAAGTTTTACATTTGATGTTATTGTATTCTTTGATGCTTTAATTAGGTTTCATTTAATTGTCTCTTTTGAATCGAAATGAAACTGTATAATTATGTGTTTAATGATAAATGTTTAAAGATAAGATATCGAAATGTTTATGAAGGTAATATATACTCTGTGAAACTTAATCTGTTTAACGAAATATTGTGTATTTCAATGTATTTCAACAAGTTTCCGTTTTTTACTTCTTGATCAATGTTGATAATAAATATTGAGTGATTTTAAGTTAGAAGTTAGTAATCTAGTCAATCGTCATCGAAATAATGTAGTTTTTTCACTGCATATTGTCAGTAATCACGATATCATTGATTGAACCATTTGTATCTTGTACACCAAAAGATTGTACACTTTCTAGAATAGATTATACGGATAATTGATAAAAATAATGTATTAAAACAAATAAAGAAAAAGATAGCTTGTTGCAATATGTAGATGGAAAGCACAGGTAGCCCAGATGTTCAAGCATTGATGTATATATATATGTATAAACAACGTAACGAAATAATACATTTAGGTATATTCAAGAATATATCATAATCTTTGCTAGATGTAATTAGTTCGATTTCAGTAAATTGAACAAAACTCTCCTCAAAAATCTATGCTGAATCCAGTTAACTTTATAAATGATGTAATTTATCAAAATTATCTAAATTGCTAAAATCTCTAAATCATTTGCAATATTTTATTAAACAATGCAGGCTCAAACTTAAAGAGTTAAATTATTTACATTAAAGTAAAATATGACTAAATTATACAATTATGCTTTTTTTGGAATTGATAAATGAACATGAAAGTCAGTAATACTATGTCTGTTGAATATTTAATTGATTGTACATTACATGGTGATTAGTAAATACTGACGTGGCTATTAAATAACTATTTTGCTTTAACATAAAACTCCCTCACCGGTACGTGCTTACGATTTTGTCAGAGAACATACAAGTACACAATAGCCTCCCAAGAAAGTGATACAACGGCTAAACTTTTGCATTGAAACCTGAAGGTCATGAGTTTACTTTCCATTTTAACCATGTATGTGCACTTTTGAAAAGTTACATATCACAACTAAACAGTTGTCTAGTGTTTTTTTTGGTTTCCATTGATTGTTTTCCTAAGATCGGTTCATGATCTGAGTAACAAACGATCTTCATGTTGATAACTAGAAAGTAATGAATAAAATATACTTCGTATATCTATATATCATTTGTATTCTAAATATTTCTAAACCGTGACTTGAATAATCATCTATGAAAATATTTTAAGTGTGGCAACTTATAAAATATTACATTATACAACTAAGCGTTTACTATATCAAAACATGAATTAAACAGATAACCATTAATGTGAATCAAATAGTTACTGAGTGATCAGAAATCATTTATTTATAATATCCCAATGAATAGAAAAATCTAACTTTCTGACTTTATTCATGACTCAGTATAAAATACGGTTAAACTAAAACAAGTTTGATATACAGTATTCATTGGTCGTAAATATTCTCCAAAATGATGTAGTTTTTTAGTAATGTATGGAATACTCAAGAAAACTTCGGTATTATCGAAATCATAAACCGAATTAATGTTAAAGCGTTATTGAAAACCTGAAGTTTAGAAAATTTCTGCATAAAGATATAACTTGATTCTATCTATTATAATAGTCTAATTATATGGAATGTTTTTCATTGTATTTAGTTCAGTCAAACAAATTTCATTATATGGTATCTATATCAATGGAACCCATCTCTAAACGTTTCCTATATTTCTCCATATTTATTCAGACTCTCTAATATAGTGACTTCTTAATGATAGATGTCATGAAATTAATTCAGTATATGCATATTGTTGTTTCTAAGTTACATGTCGATACACTTATTTGTATGATAAAGAGAAGAAGTCAATTAGGCATATTTGAAACTCATCGATACTGATTCAATTCATATTTGTTCATATTGCGTTTTATAGACTTTTTGATTTAACTGAAAAAAGCTAACAATGTTTACTTTAAAGTGATATCTAGACAAAGTGAAATCAAACCACTTAACGAATATTCTTTAAACATTTCATTATTAATTCATTATTAATAAACTTTGATTAGGTAAATTTTCACACACACATACATTAACATCTATTTCACTAAATTTTAATCGTTATGATACACATATAGTAACATTATTTATTACATGATAGTAATTTAATAGTTGAATTCATGAGTCGGGATCGTCGATGCGTACTACTGAGGAGTCGATTACTAGGACGAAATGGCCGTCGAATGCTTCCAGGTTTACCATGGTGGTCTAGCTTCAATTGACTCATGAATATAACTATTAAATTTTCTGTTGTGATGTATATACATATATACTTGAATAATACATCATCACAAAATATATAGCTATTCAGAAATAGAGAAAGGAAGTAACGGAAATAATTTAAATTAAAACTTTCCAACAGTGTTTATGATTGAATGATTTAACTCTAAATCTTGAAAATACAACATTATTGTTAAATCATTAAGTTTGATTTCACTTGGTTATATATAATCTCAACAAATGACATTTCTTCAAATTAGCTCATTTTAAAATTTAATTCATATATGTAGGAAGGTTAGAGAGGTTCATAACTCCTTTAAGTTTTCACCAAGAATAGCTTGATTGACTCCATCTGGAGCCCATCTGGGGGTACTGCCGATCCCAAGCCCGGTTAAAGGAGGAGGGTTGGGTATGAAATTAGCAACAATATCCCATAGAAAACTAACTCGCTAAAACAAAAACGCTAACTAGACTTTATAATTAAAAACAGAATTTATTTTATGACTATTATAAGTAGTATAAATATCATGATACATTTCATACTCATTAATTCATTTATGCAATACAACATTGAAATCTTCTATTTATTTGTAATCATCAACCGACAATTGAATAATATAATTAGTTTATAAGGTAACTATCAATTTTGTAGATAAACAGAAATCAATACAAATAAGACCTACATCAAATATTTTCTCACATTCATTAAACCACTTTCTTTTTGTACCATTTTCAATGTGAATAACTTTCACCTCTGTATTGTATTGATATATTACTTATAATAAATATCCGATTGGTTTCTCATAGATATTTATCTTAAAATTTATTTCCATATTGTATATACTTTTGTTTCCTTTAAAGTAAAATGGTTCAAATTACATATTGTAATTCATTGTACTTCAGTTTTGTCACTTTATGATATACTTTTGACTAATTAGACAACAACAATGTGGATAGCTTATAAACTGGATGAAATACAGTTTATTAAATTCTAAATACGACTTATAATAACTGTAATTATCATATATTATGTAGACCGCTATAAGATGAATATTGTTTTTTTTTCTTTAAATCTAAGTGTGGTTTAATGTTTGTGATTATAAACGAATGTGGTGCATACTACTGATGTCGGTAGATATAAGTAGTATGTAACATCAACCGAAAGTGAAATGCCTGGAAGTAGAAGGTCGAAAAGATCAAAAAAAAAGGACGAGAACAAAGAAGGATTGGTATGGAAATGTTAGAACAACAAAGTCTAAGATGATTGATTGACATTTTGCAAATGAAGTATTTACTATATGGTTCTTAGATTTTACTATGATATTCTGTAATTTGTGTGTTTAAATATATTCGATTTTTTCCACTTGTGTTGTCGTTCACTAAACTAACTACTGGTTAATTTTCAGTACATTTTGAACTTAGATTCGGTTTTTCATTATTCAACACTATAGATTGTATTATTTAAAATGTTTAGTTGTTTCAATGCTGAATAAATAATAAATAAATGAGACAATATTATTCCATTTTCATATTAGTTATTTGAATTTTCTCATTGATGTTTCGGACTGCAATTAATTAATTTTATATTGACATATGTCCATCCTTTATGGATCGCCTAGTTATTGCTTTAAGTCTCAAGTATTATAAGCAAAAATGAATGGTGACTAGCTGTGAAATCCAGGATATATGTTTCGTTCTATTTGTGACTCGTCAGCTGGATGTCCCTGTATCCCAAATTCGATGTTTACTAGTGGCTTTTTGAACTCAGTAGTTAAGTGAACAACATGATATCGTTTAAAGCTAACGGTACTGCATTTGAGTCCCAGAGTGATTACCAACTCTGAGATGTAGATACATTCAGTTGACATGCCCCAGATAGGACAAAACAAGCGTTCTGGATTCCACTACTAACCACAATCATCTCAACCCATAATGCAAAGCTTTTTTGAAAAAAAAACCCAATTATTTATGATTATTGTACAACGAAAAATACTTATTTTGTACACTATATAATGAGACATTACATTTATAAGCCTTTATAAATCGAAGTATCTCGGTTACGTAATCTTTGATGTAGAATCATTGTTATGATATAAGATTTTTTTAAAAATGGTTAAGATTACTTACACAAGTGATTGTTTAATTCCAATGGACGAACAATTCATTATTGATCATTGAATAAGATTTCAAAGAAGAAGAGTCTTTCTCGTTTATACTATGTAACTGTTATCTAATAGCCTTTACATAACAATCATTCTATAAATAGAATATAAGAAGGTCATAAAAATATTTATGATTTTACTCTTGACTACATTTGACATGTTTTATACGTTTGATTACATTTTCTATTCCACTTCAATTGTGAATAACTTTCATTTATTTATTTATTCATAACACGTTGATCGTTAAGTAAATAACTACTGAAAACAAAAATGCAGTGGACAGCTTTCTTGTCAATGTAATAACAGTCTATGTTTATCTTCATTATATGTGAAAATTACCCTAAAGAAGTCCAGACAAGTTACCTGGACGAAATATTGAAATGATTTTAAATTTCAATCGCTGAGATTATATCAAATATAATTTTCACATATAATGACTTCTCCATACTTGGTGACCAATTTCTGTCAAACTATTCGTTCTAATCTTGACGA